TCCATGACACCCCTTCAAATATTTAATCAGGACTATCATATCACCTCTTAACCATCTCTTCTCTATGTTAAACATACCCAGCTCCCTAAGTTGCTCCTCACAGGGCATCGTTTCCAGACCCTTCAGCATTTTGGTTGCCCTCCTCTGGACATGCTCCAGCTTGTCAACATCCTTTTTGAACTGTGGTGCCTAGAACTGGACACAGTATTCCAGATAAATCTATTCTGACCAAAGCAAATAGAGTGACACTATTACTTCCTTGGATCTATATACTATTGATACTATTAACACTATTGATGCAGCCTAGAATTGTATTTGGCCTTTTTAGCTTCCACATCACACTGTTAACTCACGTTCAGCTTATGGTCTACTAGGACTCTTAGATCCTTTTCACACGTAGTCTCATTAAGCCAGGTTTCCCCCATCATATATCTATGCATTTCATTTTTTTATTTTTTTATTTTATTTTTTTGCCCTAAGTGCAGTACCTTACATTTTTCCATTTTGAAATTGATTTTGTTAGTTTTAGACCAGCTTTCTAAACTATTTAGGTCATTTTGCATTTTCATCCTGCCCTCCGGGCTATTAGTTATTTGTCCTAATTTTATGTGATCTGCAAATTTGATAAGCATGCCTTCTGTTTTTTCATCCAAGTCATTGATAAAGATGTGGAATAGCACTGGACCCAGGACAGAATTCTGTGACACCCCACTGGTCACTTTTCTCCAGGATGAAGAGGAGTCATTGCTCAACACCCTTTGGGTTCTGTCAGTCAACCAGTTACTAATCCACCTGACAGTTGTATTGTCTAGCCCACATTTTACTATCTTGTTTGCAAGAATATCATGGGGGACCTTGTCAAAAGCCTTACTGAAATCAAGATATGCTATGTCTACCGCATTCCCTTTATCTATCAAGCTGGTAATTTTATCAAAAAAAGAGATCAGATTAGTCTGGCATGACTTGTTTTTGAGAAACCCATGTTGACTTTTAGTGATTATGGCATTCCCTTCTAAATGTTCATAAACATTCTCTTTAATGATCTACTCTAGAATTTTTCCTGGTATTGATATCAGACTATCTGGGTGATAATTGTTGGGATCCTCTTTTTTTTCCCCTTTTTGAAGATGGGAACAACATTTGCCCTCCTTCAATCTGCTGGGACTTCTCCTCTTCTCCAGTGGTTCTCAAAGATTATTGCCAATGGCTCTGAGATTACATTTGTCAGTTCTTTTAATACCCTTGGATGTAGTTCATCTGGTCGCAGAGACTTAAATTCATTTAGATTAACCAGATATTCCTGTACTACCGCTTTACATATTCTGTGCTGCATTTCCCCTGTTGTGTCCCCTGCTCCATTTACCTCAGTTTGAGCACCCTTCTCCTTTTGTGAGAAGACTGAGGCAAAGAAGGTGTTGAGTAGTTTTGGGTAGTGTAGTTAGTTGATGTTTTGTTGTTTATTTCTGGCTTGATAGTAGGTAGTGTTTTTCACTTGGTGGGGTCTTATATGCCTGTAAGCCAACAAGCACATTTATAAAAGAAAGTCTGGATGTAATTTTTAAAAATAACACATAAAATGAATTATTAATGTCTTGCCTCTCCTGTCTTTGAACATGCAAAAGGTCAGAATGTACCACTCAGTCACCAACTTGCTGTACCATACGCAGAAGGTAAACAGGAGGCAGCCCTAGGTCAATGTCATGCTGTGCCAGTCTGTTTCCATCAATCTGCCATGTTTTGCTTGCATACTAATGTTTAACTCAAATATTATTCTATTTAATAAAGTATTAGGCAGTTAAATACATGCTGGTTGGAAATTTTTTCTCACTATAATTTTTAGCAGGGGTGAATTATTAGATAGACAAAGCAAATCGGCACACCCCAAAGCTACCCTCAAGCCAGTGTCATGCCACCCCACTGACCACACAGCAGGCAATGTCATCGCATTTATGCAGTGCAGTGTTTATATGCACTGCACCACAGAAACATGGAAAAAACACTATTTGCCAGCTCAAAAGCCACTTCTTTTTGAGCCAGCAAAAAGCCGGCTTTTTGGACACGGCGTGCAGTTGCCACAGCCCCAGTCCAGTACTCAAAGGGGCACTGGCAAGCTGCTCCTTCAGGGAGGTCTTTTTCACCCTGAGCATTTAAGACTGCATGCCTATACCCATTTACCTGGAAGTAAGCCCTACTGAACACAAGTGGGACTTTCATCTAAGCAGATCCGCCTTGGATTTCAGAATTGCTTTATTTTAATTGTGCTTAATTTTAAGACTTTGCTTTGGATTTAGAGGCAAAGTAGACCAGTCATTGAAACTGTACAGATATTCTTAGCTTTTGGGGGATCTGCTCTTTCAACCCTTTTAAATCATGGTCAGCCCTCTACATTTGTAGTTTTGACTTTGCAAATTTGATTATTCATGGATTTAAGTAAGATATCCTCTCTAGGGACCTTATCACA